ACAATTAATAAATGGGACCTCCTGAAACTGAGAAGCTTCTATAACGCAAAGGACATAGTCAGCAAGACAAAAAGGCACCCCACAGATTGGGAAAAGATATCCACTAACCCCACATCTGACAGAGGGCTGATCTCCAAAATTTACAAAGAACTCAAGAAACAAGTCTCCAAAACACCAAAGGATCCAATTAAAAAGTGGAGGACTGAACTAAATAGAGAATTCTCAATAGAGGAGTATAAAATGGCTGAGAGACACTTAAGAAAGTGCTCAATATCCCTAGCCACCAGGGAAATGCAAATCAAAACAACTCTGAAATATCATCTTACTCCTGTCAGAAAGGCTAAAATCAAAAACACCAATGACAGTTTATGCTGGAGAGGCTGTGGAGAAAGGGGAACACTCCTCCCCTTCTGGTGGGAGTGCAAACTTGTACAGCCACTATGGAAATCAGTATGGAGATTTCTCAGGAAAATGGGAATCCATCTACCACAAGACCCAGCAATTCCACTCTTAGGCATATACCCAAAATATGCCCATTCATACAACAAGGACGTCTGGTCCACTGTATTCATAGCGGCATTATTTGTAATAGCCAGGGCCTGGAAGCAACCTAGATGCCCCTCAACTGAAAAGTGGATAGAGAATATGTGCTACCTTTACACAATGGAGTACTCCTCAGTGGGAAAAAATAATGGAATCTTGAAATCTGCAGGCAAATGGATGGCACTAGAAGAAACCACCCTGAGTGAGGTAACTCAGTCACAAAAAGACAAACATGGAATGTACTCACTCATATATGGATTTTAGACATGGATCAGGGAGTGCCAGCCTACAATCCCACTGCCAGACAGTCTGGGAAACAGAACCTTCAACCAATGACTGATGAAAGCAGAGGCAGATACCAATGGCTAAACACTTAGCTGACCTCAAGGAATCCAGTGACAGAGAGGGAGAACTGATGAGCAAAGGTGTTAAGACTCGGCTGGTTTAACCCACAGAAACAGCTGACCTGAACAAGGCAGAGCTCTTGAATCCCAGACTGATGGCTGGGAATCCAGCATGGGACTGATCCAGACCCCCTGAATGTGGGTGTCAGTGAGGAGGCCTGAGCAAACTATGGGGCCTTGGGTAGTAGATTAGTATTTATCCCTGGCATACAAATGAATTTTGGGTGCCCGTCCCACAATGAGAGATGCTGTCTCAGCCTGGACTCTTGGGGGAGGGCCTAGGCCCTTCCCTGGATGAAATGACAGACTATGGATATTCTGCCATGGACGGCCTCATCCTCCCTGGGGAATAGAGTGGGGATTGGGGGAGGGGGCCTGCAGGGGTTGGTGGGAGGGTGTGGGAGGAGGGGAGGGAGAAGGAGCTAGGATTGACATGTGAAGCAAGCTTGTTTCTAATTTAAATTTAAAAATAAAAATGAAATAAATACATGTTGTCTTGAGCTTTAAACATTTCTACGGCTTGTCTACTTACATGTCCAATTTTGCATATATTGTATTACATGTGTAAGCATATATTATTCTACTGCTGTAGAAAAGTTGAATTGTTGACAATTACCTGAAAATTATGTTTAAATCTAAAAGCACATTGAATTAAAACACTGTAAATAACCCAACATAATTTTATGACAGTGTTATTATTATTAACCTTAGTGAAGATGCCTAAGTAGGAAATATCTGCTGTTATTATCTCATCATGAATACAATTTCCAAATTCATGTCTGTGTCCTTTTCAAAGTAAAATGCTCTGGAGGCAGGCTAGGTGCGGTGACGCACACCTTTAATCCCAAGACTCAGGATGCAGAGGCAGGTAGATCTCTGTGAGTTTGAGTCCAACCTGGTTTACAAAGCAAGGTCCATGACAGCCTGGACTGTTACATGGAAAACGTCCCCCGAATGCTCTGAAGACAAAGTTGTCTTAACTTTGAGTGAAGACACAATCACTCCATGGATCGCGGTCCTGTTGAATCCGGTATGAAGAATGCCCACTGAGAGCAGAGGAGAAATGGTCCTTCCAGACTAGGGAAGCAAGAGCAGGGAGATGGAGGCTTGTGGACAGGAAGGCACCTCAATTCTCTGCAGCTGGGGGTTCCCACATGTATTTTGTTTCCTGTCTTGGGAGTAGGGAGTCTGCCTTTTATTACCCAATGTGTCATTATCACCTGGTCTCCACTGGTGCAGGGAGGATGGCAGAAATGCTGGTGGCCCTGTTTGCTGAGAAGGCACTTTCAAGGGTCATTTCTGGTGCTGTAGGCAGCAGTAGGAAGAGGTGCCTGGAAGACAAGCTAGAGCCCAATTTTGTTGGTGTTAAGTGTCCACGTCAATGATATCAAGCATGCAGAGGGCAAGACCTGCATGAGCTGCCTTTTGCCTGTTGACCCTACTCTGGTCTGGGGACCAGGCAAAGGGAATACAATTGGGACTGCCTCCCATTCTTTGTGAACTTGAGGAAGTGATGTGGAAACAAACTCACGGGACACTGGGGCAAGGAAAGGACGACTTAACAAGATGGGGACGGATTTAGGGTTCTGCTTTACTCTGGGTGGGATTGTAGGCTCACTGCTGATGTTAATCAGAACTCGGGATTTCTCAGCTGGGTGCTGGGCATGGGAGCTGCTAGGAGCTCGACCCTAGTTCCCAGAGTGACACATCGCTCAGCCTGCACTGTGTGGTCAGGCCACTCACAGATTCCACTGAAATAGCTATTCTTTTCACACTTGAATACTGTTTCCAAACAACTGTTTCCTTTTAACATTCCCAAAGCAGATTGACTTTTTGAGTTTTGTGTTGCTTCCAACTCAGTCAGTGCCAGTCTGAGACCTCAAACCAATCCCAACATCCCACTGCTGTCTTCCTCCAAAGAGTTCCTGATAGTGTTGCAGCCACTCTGGGGCCAGTCTGTTTGTGGTCATCACCATGTCCCTGCCACTCTGCTCCACTCTCGTGGTTACCACAGGGGTCTTAATGGTTATCACTATCACTTTTCTCCATCCTATGGTTTTGAACAGGTGTGTTTATTTAAAATAAGCAGAGTCATATAGAAAGACGGTAAGAGTAGAGTGTTACATGCCCACTGTTACAGTCCTGAGGAAGGAAGGGAAGGAGGGAGGGAGAGAGGGAAGAAACGAAGGAAGGAAGGAGGGCAGGCAGGCCAGCCCAGGGCAAAATATCATTGCATAGTAGGCAGCTCAGCCTAATAGAAACTGGTTCTTTTGTTTGTTTGCTTGTTTCTTTTTTTAAACTTTGTATTGATTCTTTGTGGTTTTTCACATTATACATCCTGGTCCCACTCATTTCTCCATCCCCTCATCTCCATCCCCTGCTCTTGTGACTGCTCCCCTAAAAAAAACCCAAAATTCAAAAGTATAGCCAAGAAACAAAACAAATATCCTCGTGGAAGCTGTCGTATTATCCAGTGAGTCACACAGCAGACCCCTCAGTCCATACATCTCTGCTTGTAAGTGTTCTTTGCAATGGGTCACTGGTCTGGCTGGAGGCCTCTGGCTTCTGCTGCTGGGCCATCACTGGGACTCCTCCTGGCTCTCCTGTTCTTGTCCTGTGTCAGGAGACCCTGTAGCTTTGGATCTGTAGGTTCCTCCCCTTCACATACTCCAGGTGTTCACAGATGAGGTGGACATTGGGGTGGACTAACTCACAGCCCTGGTTCTGGGCCCACCAGCTTTCCCTCGTTGTCACCATCAGGGCGAGCTCTCTAGCACTGTCATAGCTAACTCATCCACTGCTGCAAGCAGCAAGGGACAGACACTTCTCCAGCTCTCCAGCTCTCCGGGCCAGCTCTTCCGACCTCACAGCAGCAGGGCCAGCTCCACTGTTTCGCTCAGGTGAGGTATATGGCCCCCTGTCTGAATTGCTGCAGTTGCTGGGGACAGAGCCAGATCGTCCATTCTCGTGCGCTGGAGGCTGGCTCTCCCGCCTGCCACAGACTGTGGCAGGGGGTAGGGAAGAGCGTATATGTCCCCAACCCATGCCACCACGTGGCATACAAGGGAGGGGGCAGGTGCTGCCCTCCTGCTCTCCTGTCCACAGGACCGACTCACCTACCGTGTCTCTGCCAACAGGGTCAGCTCTAGGGTGTTCCCCAGGCAAGGCGCAGGGCCTGCTCGCCCACGCGCTGCAGCTAGTGAGGGCCAGTGAGGGACTGGACCACCAGGCCTGCTCTCAAGATCCCAGGGCCAGCTCTCTTGACTGCCACAGGTGGCAAGGAGGGAGGGAAGGGAGGCGTCTTTCCCTCACTCATGCCACCTTATGGCTGATGAGGAGGTGGGGTAGCTCTCCTGCTCTCACACCCTCCGCGCTGGCTTACCTGTGCCCCACCAGGAGAGTGAGCACTACTGTACTGCCCACTCTCGTGATCCCAAGTGGTGAGGGACGGGGACCGGGGAGGTCTTCTCTCCCTCACCTACTCCACCATATGGCAGGTGAGGGGGTGGGGCTAGATCTCCATATACTTCCGTGGGGGCAGATCACCTGTGCCCCTGTCAATGGGGTCAGCTCGGCTGTGCTGCCTGGGCGAGTTTCAGGGCCTGCTCTTCTAAGCTCAATAGCCAGTGAGGGGCAGGATTGGCTCTCCCACCCTCGTGACCCAGAACCAGCTTTTCTTGCCTGCTGTAGGTGGGAGGCAGGGTTTTTAGAATATCCTGTTCTCTCCTGTTGTTGTTGGAGTTATGTGGACAGTCAGACATCAGTCTGTATGCAGTCACACACATGCTTGAACAACAAAAGGTGGGCCATCTTCTTATGTGAATGCGCATGCCTGATTGTCTAGGGCACGCCCTCCTGGAGGCGCCCTCCCCTCCCTACCCCAGATGGCACTGTGCCCAGCCCACTTTCCCTCTTGTCGGACTGTTACATCATCGCTTCTTACTAGTCTGCCTAGCGCTCACTTTCCTCTTGTGTATTCATTAGCTGACTTGTTTATTATGTCTTCACCAACCAGAATGTGGCTCTGTGAAGGAAGAGGCTCTGCCTTGTTCTTGGGAATCTCCAGGGCCCCGAGGATGCTTGGCATGCGAGCAGCCCTACAGGAGGTATTGTTTACCAAGTGACTGTAAAATGCCAAGAGAGCAACTTTCCATCATTTACTGTGAGTGCCTGCGCATGCCCAGTGACGTGACTGGCATGCAGTAGGTGCTTGTAGCGTCTTACTCTTTCCCGGACTCATTATAAAAACTAGCGTCAGTTCGGGGCCCAGGGCTGATGGGATTGCCGTGTTCTTAGTTCAACTTTCAACTGACTCCTTACTTCTCTTTCTTACTCAGCTTTGGCCCGTGGAACGTGCCAGAAGATGTGGTTAAAAACACAACAAACTCCTGGATGCTGGGACCGTGGGTGGCACTGTTTGTTTCTGCGCTGACTTGGCGTGAGCTGTGGGCAACTCACTTAACTGCTCTGCAGGCCACTCGTCTCATTAGTAAGAGTAATTACAGTCAAAGTAATCAGTAAAAGTAATTTACAGGGTGCCCTGAAGGCCTTAGAGAAGTGTTTCTCAACCTGTGGATCATGACAACCCCCCCTTCGTGCGCGCAGGGGTTGGATATCCTGCCTATCAGATATTTACATCATGATTCATAACAGTAGCGAAATTACAGTTATGAAGTAGCAACGAAGTAGTTTTATGGTTTGAGGGGGTCACCACATCAGGAAACAGTGTTAAATGGTTACAGCATTGGGAAGGTTGAGATCCACTGACTTGGAGGAATGTAGCTACAACCAGGGGCTCGCACCACTCTGCTTTTCCCTTTGCCAAAGGCCCTTGAGCCCACACGTCTTTGCTGTGCACTCTCTGAGTCTTTGCACTCAAAGTGCGTTTATTTATCACCTTTTATTTTGCTACACCATTTTCAGCTGAGGAGATGAAGATTTATTTATAATCGGCCTTTAAGTGCTATTATCTTAAAGAGTACTAGGGTGACTCTTTTGAATTCCTAAGAATTGTCCACACATTGGTCCTGAATTACACACCATTTGTTTTGATTATCATATGCACTGTGGAATCCCATTATAAGTAACTGGCTAGTATGTGCTTTTGGAAGGTTTAGCTAAAATGCCAGAGTCCAGCAAATGGTTGGTTCCTGCATGTTCTTCCTCCAGACCTCCCTTTACTCCTCTGCTGCCTGCAATCCGAGTTTGCTAGTGAGCATTTCTCCTTCATTCTCGGAACCTGCACTTTCTTTTAAGATGTTGCCATTGAAAATCCAAACCCATGGCGACTGGTCAGCCTCTGTCCGTTTTGTCTGACGCTTCTATGTCTTACTGTGTCCTTCCTGGCTCTCACCAGCCACGCCTTTATCTGCATGCTCTTTCTGTGTCTACAATGCCATTTCTGACCTGTGTGAGTGGTAAGCACACACCTCTCTTGTAAGACGCAGCTCAGACTTCACATCCTTCTTTTCGGTAGCTTCTGACCCGCCCTCCCAGTGCTGGGAATTCTGGCCTATCTTCTCTCTACTAATGCTGTCCTACTATGGCAATTGGGACTTTTTGCCTCATAGCTAATCACTTCTCTTTTTCATATTTGTATTACTTGTGGAGAATTCATGGTACATAAAGAGTTTTGTCTTTTTAATTTCCATATTCTTAGACATAGCCTAGAAATCTTAGTAAGTGTTTGTTGAATGGATACTTGAATAAAAATACAGTGATTAAATTTCTGGCCTCACACACAGTTCTGAGACGGTTTGACTGGTGTGTGGGAAGTGCTCTTTGAAATGGCTTCTGGGTAGTAATGGGATCAGAAGGTGAATTCAGAGGTTTCTGTGTATCCTAAGGCACTTGTCTACAAGTATGGATCAAATTTGTTTTAGCTTACACTTCCTTATCTAATTAAGAGATGTTAATTAGACCACCCACCAGGCTGGTGACTGGAATGTTGGGATCCCTGACTTTTCCTCCAGCAGAGTGGCAGTGAGATTCACTGTGAATTGAAATTTGTGTGGTGGTCCATGGGTGGGTGGAGTTGACAAAACTTGCAGGTTATTTTAGAAAAATGTGGCTTTCATGATCTTTTACTAATTATAATCTTAGTTAAAATATTTTAATATGAGAACCAAAGAAAATTTAGTAAAGAGCTGAACTCGTTGGCAAATCTATTATTTCAAGCAACAGATTTTTTTCCTTTCTGCATGACATCACATGTGTACATATTTGCATATAGTTGTAGCTGTGATGCTGGTTTCTGTTTTCCTATAGGAAAAAAGGATGAATATAAGGCATTTTCTGCAAATTAATCCTGACATGAGCTTCTCCTCTCCCCTGCCCTCCCCTCCCTTCCTCTCCCTCTCTCTCTGCTCCCCTCTCCTTCACTTTTCAAACCCCTTCTTTTCTTTCTGCAATGAAATATCTGTTCCATTTACAAATGTTGAGAACACCTGTTGGCACTCAGTGTTGGCTAGACTTATGTAGTGTTGGTATCACCTAATTCACTAGGCCATCCCTCGGCTGTCATACGACAAGGGTTCAGTTGCGCAAAGATACAGTCCCACATCCTTAGCCTGGCCTATGCACTGCTGAGCCATCCAGCTCCTCTGTGGCCTCATCTCTATGTCTCCTTTGCTCACTCAGTTCTGATCACCCTGGGTCCCTTTGTTTTTGTGAGCTTATTAAACTTCAGCTTCAAAAACCAGTCCATTTACCGTATTTCCTTTCATTGAATTATTATTTATTTTATTGCCCATCTTCCAGAGCCACTTAGTAATGTGAAAGAGGGACTGTGGGCTTCATTCTCACCAGCACAGTGCTGGCAGGGGTGGGGGAACGGGGGTGGGGGTGGGGATAGGGTTGGGGATGGTGGTCGGGGGTCAGGGGTGGCCTGGACACAATGACACCAGAGACAGCCAATCAATTGCAGTTCACTATTTCATGGTCAATGGAAATAAAACAGAAAAAGAAAGGAACAAAAGAGATCAGTGCGAGTCACGTGCAAGAAGATCATTCTGGGCTTTGTTGAGAAAGTGGATGGTTAGCCAGAGGTTTTCAGGGACTTCCACGCTACACACCCTTGGCCGCCATTGCTCAGGAATGTGCTTAGGGCGACAAGGTGGCAGTGTGCTCTCTCCCACACTCTTGAAGACCTGTAGTGCACTAAGGAAGTGAAGGAGGCCTAGTTAAAGCAGTCTCCCAGGAGCATCAAGTGAGATCTGGGACACACACAGTCTTCTGTGTTTTGTCAGAGGTTGAATTAGGGTCTCTAGGCTTGCAATGGTAAATGCTATTCCCCCCCCCACTCCCCCCAACCCCAGAGCCATCTCACTGGCCCTTGTTTTATTATTGAGACTGGAACTAGTAGATCTGACTGGGCTGGCTGGCCAGGGGGTCCCAGGGATCTTCTTCTTCTCTCTCTCTCTCTCTCTCTCTCTCTCTCTCTCTCTCTCTCTCTCTCTCTCTCTCTCTCTCCTCAGTTCTGCCTTTACAGGCATGTGTCACCATGTCTGCCCCCCAGCCCACCCCCCCCCCCCCCGTCCCCCCGATCCTGGACTCTGGAGACCAAACTCAGGTCCTTGCACTCACACTCCCCTACTGATGAAGCCATTTCCCCGACCCCGATATTAAAGATGTTGACAATCTCTAGAGATAGTCTGGAAACTGTACAGCTAAAAGTATAAGCTCAATTTAGATTCTGTGATGGACTGAGCCAATTCAGTCTGAAAAAGCAAACTGACCTGAGAACACTTAAATACTAAAGGTCTTACTGAGGAGTTTGCCAGGCACAAGCACCCTATCAGGTAAGCCAAAGCCTACAGCCAGACAAAAAATGACCTTTCAGACTCCAGGGCTGACAACTAGAGGTAGCACTCCAGACTCCCACACGGCTCAGAAAGCAACAGAAATGCTGTGTTCGGTGTTGCCAGTCCGTGAGCTCTGAGGCCACGTGCATGGTTCCTAGCGCCAGTTCAGTGAGAAGCTACAGAGTTTACTGCTGAGCTGTGCTGTGTGCAGAACAGTTGACACAGAGCAGACTCTCAGAAACACCAGTATTTATTCTCCTGCCCCAAGAGGGGCAATCAGAGTGCTGCATGAACTTCCAAACACACTGACTAAGGAAGCGGTGGGGAAGCTGGGCCATCTGGATTCAGAAACGGATTCTTTAACTCTGAGAACTTGGTCCTTTGCTCTTACTGTGTTCGCTGTAGTTCCCTGCAGACATATAGGGGTTTATTATTGTTAAGATCTTATTAGTATTGTAGAAATGCCAAATAATGAGCTCCCTCATCTCCTTCCCTTCCTTCCATCTTATGAGGGCCCTAGAAATATGTAGATTCTATGTGTAGAAATTAATGATTTGTAGATAAACATGGGAACACAGTTCTAGGAGAGGTTGGCTCTAGCAATGGAACTAAAGGGAGGGCACAGACAAAGCAATTTCATTAAGAAATACTGACTTTGACACTGCAGAAGAATGGAGTGTTCTGAGAAAAACTAAATATAGATTTGCCACATGACCCAGCCACATGACTCCTAGATAATTCCCCAAGGAATCAAAGTCAACACAAGATCCTTGCTACCAGTGTTCATTGCAGTGCTGTCTACAACAGCGTAGTGAATGATGGTAGCCAACAACAGAGGGATGGATAAAGAAAATGTAATATGTATACATATGGAATTTTGTTCAGTTATAAGTCAGTCTCAGACAAATGTGTCATGTTTTCTAGTACCTGTTGATCCTAGATTATGTAAAAGTCCACGGAGCTAGACATGTATAAGTGACCTAAAAGTTGAAGTAAGACTGTTTAGAAGAACAAAGGGACCTAACAGGAGGGGGAAGGGGGAAGAGGGGAGGGAGGGTGTACAGAGGGATATGCTTATAAAGACACTGTGTGCTTACACGGGAACATGTAACCCGGTACTAGGAGCAACGAATATACATACATCAAGTCAAAGAGCCACTGGCTTTGAGACGTCTGTGTTCCAGCTACTGTGTGAAGCTTCTAGGATGCTGTGGAGAACACAGACCAGTCTCTTGGGAGACAGACATTAAACAACTAGTTACAGGAGTATTAACCACAGGCTGCTATGGGAGAGTGAGATACAATAAGAGAAAGGGTTCCAGAAGAAGTCATGTTGGAGCCAAGGCTAAATGTAGTGTGGAAGCTGGTCAACGGGAGAGAGAAGAGTTTCCCAGGCAGATGTCAGCTCTGAGCCAGCGTTGTCATTGTTTCCTGAATGTAAATGTGCTTTTACAAATGCCACATGTGAGACTCACTTCAAGGTGCCTTGGGCTTGCTGGAGAGAGAAACAGCCCAGGAATCATTCATACACAACTAGCAGGCTCAGAGAATCCTGCTTGCCTTGTCAGCAATGGCCTGGTGTGTGCAGGACAGAGGGTCTTGTCTGTTGTGGAACTAAAGGATTTAGGCGAAGCTTTTCCATACATGGAGACTAACGTCTTACCACAGCAATTTCTTTCTCAAAGATCTCAGTGAAATTCAAGAATGTGTAACATGCCAGGCATTGGTGGCGCACGCCTTTAATCCCAGCACTAGGGAGGCAGAGGCAGGCGGATCTCTATGAGTTCAAGGCCAGCCTGGTCTACAGAGCGAGTTCCAGGAAAGCCTCCAAAACAATACAGAGAAACCCTGTCTCTAAAAAACAAACAAAAAAAGTAGAGCAATAGTTTTTTAAGAAAGAGGACAGAAGATGCAAAAGCCTTTCTGGGGGTGGAAGGGTGGACAGAAGTTAGAGGAGGGAGAAACCTTTGGAGGTAGTGTGCATCTATCCAAAGGGGAGGGAGGCCATGCAGAAGAGTGGACAGGTTTTTCAGACCAGCACTACATAGGGTTGTCCTAGAGGGCCAAGCAAGAAGAAAATATTAAGTGTATAAGTGATTTTCATGAATGCTGTGAATATAGGCATGGTCCTACAAGGATGTCCAGTCTTTCAATATGGCAACATGATGATGTCATCTACAAATGTGTTTGGAGCATGTGGCCATAGGTTGAACATGACTAGAAGGAGGTAAGAGTAACATTTGTGTGTTGTGAAGCCATGGTGGCACATACCTGTGTTCTCACACTTCTGTGGTTATGCTTCTGCAGATGTCATGAGGTATGGTGTTTGTGTGTCCTTGGTACTACTTTTAGAATTACTTCAAATTTGTTCTCCCAGGATTCTCTGCACGAGGCATTTTACCCTGGACTTGTTACTTCTCTGGGTGAGTTCAGAATTCTGATGGAATGCAAGGGAAGAGAGTGATTTAGATAGAGGTCAGACCAGGTAAGAGTGTGGCGAGCAGACAAAGGAAGAAGTGTTAAATGAGAAGCACTCTGATAGCATCTAAAGGGGACCTGGCTCAGTTTGGGTCACAGTGGAGGTTCCCTGAGAGAGTGGTACAGAGGTGAGATCTGAAAGGTGATCTGGTTTTAACCAGATTCAGAGGGAGGACTGCAGGAAGCAATCCAGGCAAGGAAGCAGGGTGATGATGGGAGTGATTTCCCAGACAGACAGAATGTAAAACCAATAGAACTTTATTATTACATTCAACAAGTCTGTATTTCTCACAGTCTTCTGGCTCTGGAGGCACAATTATCAATGAAAGCCAACATTCAATGATCTTACATTGTAGTAAGCATCGGGGAGAAGTGATAAGGGTGTATCCTTTGTTTTGAGATGGATGGAGCTCCTGCCATTTGTGGAGACAGGAGATGCCGAGGGAGGGCTGGATTTGTTCATGTATGACAGACAATTTAAAGTGCATTGGAGATAAACAAGTGATTCCTAAGGAGTCAGTGCTGTGTGTGGGTTTGAGTTTCAGACTTGTCTGAGGCTGACACACACATTTAGAAATATATAATATATATGGTATATATGATAACTAAAGTGACAGGAGGGGATGCAGTGTCCCATGACTCCATAAGCAACACACAACACAACTTGAAGGGGAGTCATTTACGTATGTTGTGCTATGAATTGTGTTTCCTAGGCATGGCCATGGATAGAGACAAGAGGACCAAGGGAAGGAAGAGGCAATGAGAAGAAAAGTGAGTTTTTAGGAAACTTCAGTATTTAATGGTCAGGCTAAGAGGAAAGGGATATTAATAGAGGGGGCGGGGACAAAAGGGTGTATGGAATGGAAGTTAAGGGAGTGGTATGACTGAGATGGGTGATGGAGCTGGTTTCAAGAGGGCAGTGGCCAACAGGGTCAAGAGCAGTAGAGAAATTCAGTAAGTCACGGTTACTGGTGTAGTGGCTCATCTTGCTAGCTTAATGGAATTTGGAGTCACCTAGGAGACACACCTCTAGTGTGTCTGTGAGAATACTTCAAGAGGAGTTTAAGTGAGGAGGTAAAAACCCGTCCTGAACATGAGTAACACCATCATGTGGGCTGGGGTGCTGGACTCAATAAACAGGAGAAAGCAGGCTGATACCAGCTCTCATCTTTTCCGGTTTTCTTCTTGGAAGAGAAGTGTGAGTAGCTGCCTCACATCCTACTGCCATGCTATAGTGACTTGAATGACATTGTCCCCCAAAGGCTTGGGTATTTGAGTACTCAGTCCCCACTTAGTGGTGCTGCTTAGAGAGGTGTAAGAGGCATGGCCTTGCTGCAGGAAGTGCAGGTGGGCTCTGAGATTGGAAGCCTCAAGCTGCTTCCAGTTTGTTTTTTCTGCGTGGTGCTCACATTTAAAGATGTGAGCCTTCAGCTTCCTGCTCCTGCTACCATGCCTGCCAGTTGCGGCTCTGCTTTTCCACTATGATGAACTCTTGTCCCTCTGGAACCATAAGCCTTCAAGGAAACTCTGAGTTCTATAAGTTGCCTTAGTCATCAAGCTTTATCACAGCGATAGAAAATTGCTTCTTTGCTAATGATGGACCATACCCTTGAATCATGAGCCCAAACAAACCCTTCCTTCCTTAAGTTACTTTTGTCAGTCATTTTGCCACAGCAGTAAGACAAACAATGAATATATGGTCATGGATTGGCAACAGCTTCCGCCTTTGTCCTTTGAACTGGTTTCATGGTTATCTCAGCCGCTCACGTGTGATTGTTCCTTTAGTGATCTCAGAAGAAGCCTTATTTATTTTTTTTATCCAGGAGTCTCAAGGGTGAAGTAACAAGGTCAGAGTGGAATGGATTGAAGAATGAGTGTGAGGTAAAAGAATGTGGACACTAATGTGTCCTGTAACATGCCATTTGAAGAATGTTGTCTTCCAGCCATGCAGGCTGAGTTCCTGACTGGAATGAGGTCAGCTCAAAGGGAGGTGGTAACTTTGCAAGAACTCCAGCTGGAACTTTCGAAGTGGTTAGGTTCTCGAGGCTGGGTTTGTCTTACTTCTTTTTCTCTGCCATTTCCCCTCTGGAATATGACATTGTTTAGAATGTGAGTGTGTTTGAGGTGATGACAAGGGAGTGTTGGAGAAAGGCCTGGAGTTTCCAGAACACACATTGAGTTAATTCTACTGATACATTTGAACAGCATGGACAAATTGGGAAAACATGGCACAGACCACACACAGCTCTTGAATGCTCCCCCACTTATGCAAGGATTATATTCCTCCATCGCTTTTGTTAAGTCTTCTCTACCATCCTCTCTCAGTGTATCCACTATTCCCAGTGCATGGTGTTTCTCAGCCTTGTCACGAGGCTGAGGGGAGGAGTCTGGGGAGCCCGTTGACATTAGGCATGCTGGTCTGGATTGGCAATGACTTTTGCCTTGCCCTTTATGGTTTCTGTAGATTGCCTCTGTTCTTCAGGCACCTAAAAACTTGCTCTCAGAGGGTATACACATCATAAAGCTTCCCTTAGAATATTCTTTAGAAGGAATCCCAAGAATTGGTATTTACATTAGTTCAGAAAATTATAGTTTCAGAGATAGCATATTTTAGCAGCTTGCCCACTCACCTCACCTTGAAAGAGAGCACACATTTACAACATAAGAAATGGTCAAGGTCAACATCCATGGTAGATCTCTCCCCTCCTATATCTCTTCAAATCATATAAGACAATCTTCCTCGTATCTAAATCCCAATTTACGTACCAAAAATGCTTTCAGAATAATATAAACATGGTGAAGATAATGTGGCTCCTGCTTACCCATCTTGCCATTGCTTTCTCATAGTGCCTTAACATAGGAAGAACACAGTTGAACCGCTGTCCTCTAAAGTCCAGGTCAATACTCTTCTAGATATTTATAGATGTCCCTTGAGCATATGGAATTACATTGAACTTACACTTTCAAAGAAATTGAACAATCTCTTATACAAATAAAAGCATGCTGTCATTCAAATACGTCTGAAACATCAAAGTATCAAAATTTAGTACTGTAACTTTTAATATTTATGTTTATACAGTATTATTTATATTTATATATCATTATTTATGTTCACTTTGGAGGAAAATGTCTGGGAACAGAATCTTCAAACAGAAAACCTTGAACCAATTACTGCCTCGTCCTTAGTGCTATTTCATGTCAAAGCTAACATATTTTAATTGTATACGGCAGAGCTCAACACCAACTATTAACTTCTCATTCACACAAAGCTTATTTGCTCAGCAAAGGCAGTGTGAGACCAGACTCTGAATATCTGTTATCTCTTATACTCCCTTTGGAAAGCTAGCTTCCTTTGCTTGAATATTTGTTTCATATTATCATTTATATCACATACTCTTTACTTTTCACTATTCACTTCTTTATGTGTAGAGATGTATTTAATGAGTGGGTGTGTGGGCATCCATTCTTTTGACATTACTTGGATGTGCTTAATGATGAATTCCTGACCATATACACCTTTTAAATTAGAAGTTAATATTTGGTGTTGGGCTCTGTTGCATCTGGTTAAAATATTAGCTTTGGCATAAAAGGGCATAAGGATAAGGCAAGGATCGTTCAAGGTTTTCTCCTCCCAGTGAGTTATAGTATATTATGTACTAAATTTTGATATTTGGATGTCTCAAACCTATGTGAATGGCAAAATGTTTTTTTATATAAGAGATTGCTCAATTTCTCTAACAATACTATTTCAATGTAATCCAATATGCTCAAGAGACATCTAGAAATAGGTAGGACAGAGGTCCAGCTGTGGTCTTCATAAACTAAGGCAGTATGAGAAGATGTGAAAGTAGGAGCTACATACCTCTACTATGTTTATATTATCCTGAAATCATTTTGGGACTCTTACAAGCTTTAAGGAGATGTCGGAGGGATCTGCTCTGGATGTTGACATTGACCATATCGTATGTTGCAAATGTGTGTTTGGTTGCAAGGTGAGGTGAGTGGATGGGCTGCTCATGTGTGCTGTGTTTTATACTTAGATCATCCAGGTGTGTATTTCCTACCACAGTCCTCTGAGTGTCATCACCTGGGTTTACTTCCACGCCCTGAACTAATTCCTCTGCAGAATTACACAGAACTCTAATGCCACGAGAGTAATACCGAGGCTCATTTCCCAATCCTCCCCAACTATGTTCTGTGGGTACCCCCATGAGACCGTGTAGAGAGAACTCCCATGCCTAACTCATTTTTGTGTGTTTGGGTGGTCCAACCCAAATGTAGCTTCTCAGACATGGGGATGGATTAGCTCTTGAAATGTGGTGATTAGCAGAGGTGCCAAAGTCAGACTTTGTGGTCAACACGCAACTGTGATCCAAGCTAACACGCCCTCTATAGCCCCATTAATCCTATGAATGCTGAGCCTACACTCCCAGCACAATCAGTTACATGGAGTCCAGTGGCTGCCCTGGGGTAGCAGTCCTGTCTTCACTTCTACTTTCTTCCCTCCACTGTGACCTTCATGTGCAGTGTTCTTGCTTAGCTGTTTGAGGGAAAAATGAAAAGATTTTCTGTGTTGGCAATCTCTTGAATGGTTGCCATGCAAGGCATATAACTGTACAACACACACACACACACACACACACACACAGGTACCCCACATATTTTCTTGTATATCAAATATAGAGATGTTTATACATTTTTATGTAGTCATACATACCTTGACCTAATGATATTTTATATATATCATACATATTTATATGTTTTTTTCTAAAAATTCTCCTTCTAATTCATTGGTCTCCTTGAGAAGTGAGTATGGCTTTTTATTTTTTGTTTTGTTTTTTTAATTCTTTTTAAAAATTTAAATTAGAAAAAACTTGTTTTACATGTCAATCCCAGTTCCCTCTCCTTCTTCTCCTTCCCTGATGCCCACCAAGCCCCCCCATCCCATCCCATGAGGTCTTCCATGGGGGATCTTCAAAGTCTGTTATATGATTTGGAGCAGGATCTTCCCTGTGCGTCTAGGCTGAGAGATTGTCCCTCTATATGGAATGGGCTCCCAAAGTTCAATCTTATACTAGGGATAAATACTGATTCACTACCAGAGGCCCCATAGATTTCCTAGGTCTCCTCACTGACACCCATGTTCAGGGGCTCTGGGTCGGTCCTATGCTGGTTTCCTAGTTATCAGTCTGGGGTCCATGAGCTCCCACCTTGCTCCGGTCAGCTGTTTCTGTGGGTTTCTCCAGCCTGGTCTTGACCCCTTTGCTCGTCACTCCTCCCTCTCTACAACTGGATTCCAGGAGTTCAGCCCAGTGTTTAGCTGTGGGTGTCTGCTTCTGCTTCCATCAGCTACTGGATGAAGGCTCTAGGAAGGCATATAAGGTAGTCATCAATCTCATTATCGGGGAAGGGCATTTAAGGTAGTCTCTCCACTATTGCTTAGATTGTTAATTGGTGTCATCCATACTTCTATGACCACCTGTTGGTTTTGGGATTAGGCTAGGCTTTGCTGCAGTAACAAAGAACACCAGTTTTCAGTGGTTCCTTTCCTGTTTTGGATGTTGAGATTGCCACCCTGAATACTGTTTCTGCTTTGTCTGCAGTGTCTATGTCAAGCTCTGCCTGTAGGGGGCACTGGGGAGACCCTGGAAAACTGTTTCCTATTGCTGTGGGCATTAGCCCAATAACTTCTTTATTGTGGTGGAGACAGTTCCTGGATACTGCACCAACTGAACCCAGACTGGGTTTTTGGGTCACTTGTAGGTCTGGTCT